CTTGAAAAATGGTTGGCACTTGCCGCTAGAGCTCGAGACAAACCGATTGAGTGTCATTATTCTTCCGGTGAGGCGCTGCACATCTTAGGTGTTTGTGGGAGAATTCATTTCCAAAACAATTTTTACCTTCTCGGGGTTTGCTTCAATACCTTGATTGTTCACAATGAACCCCAAAAATTTTTCTGTCTAGACTCCGAAAGCACATTTAGCTGGGTTCAACTTTTTCTTGTATCGGTGCATGATCTTAAATAACTCCCTAAGATGCTGGATATGGAGCTCGAATTTAAGAGATTTGACCAACATGTCATCAATGTATAACTCCATTGTCGATCTAAGCTTCTCTCGAAACATCTGATTAACCAATCTTTGGTAGGTGGTCCCAACATTCTTCAACCCAAATGGCATGACTTGATAATAGAAGATTCCTTGCTTCGTAAGGAAAGATGTATTTTCCTGGTCATTGAGATCCATTTTGATCTGGTTGGATCCCGAGAAGGCGTCCATGAAGCTGTGGAGCTCGTGCCCTACCGTGGCATTGACTATCAAGTCGATCCTAGGCAAAAGGAAGCTATCCGTGGGGCATGCACAATTGAGGTCGATAAAGTCAATACATAGCCGCCACTTTCTATTCACCTTCTTGACTAGCACCGCATTAGCCAACCAAGTCGGATAATTGACCTCTTGATGGCCCTTACTCGCAATAGTTTAGCCACCTCTTCGTTGATCTCCTTTTGTCTTTCTAGAGAGTTGGTGGACAATCACTTTCGGATCGATTCCCTCTATATTTCTCTTGTTTCTAGGTGAATACATCAGCATTTTATTTCAAGAACAGGATGATTTTGTCTTTGATATCCTGAAGCAACATCGAGCCTATAAAGATCACATGCTCGGGGACCTCGTCGATCAACACTGGCTCTAGTTTCTCTATTGGGGTTCGTCAAGTTTCTATATCATCTCTCACATCAAGGCCCTCTTACTAAACATACTCTACTTCTTTATGCCTCATAGACACCACGTAGCACTTCCTAGTGAAGCATTGATCCCCTTTCACCACCCCAACCTCGTTCTCCATGGGAAATTTCATGACTAAGTGGTATGCCAATGGGACGGCTCTAATAGGGTTGAGGGAGGGCCTCTCGAGTCGTACATTGTAGGCAGAACGAGTGTCCATTACCAAGAAATGAACCATAGTGGTAACTTGACAGGGGTGGTCCCCCAGGGTGAGGACAAGCTGGATGGATCCAATGGGCAAGACCCTCTCACCTAAAAAGCCTAGAATGTGGGTTCTTACTGGTTCAAGCTTCAACTTGTCAATACCAAGTTGATCAAAAGTGGAAAGGAAGATGATATTTGCTGAGCTACCATTGTCGATGAGCACATGATGTACAACCTTGTTTGCAATGATGGCATTTGCAACCAAAGGATCATCATAGGGGTGTTGATATCCTTCCAGGTCAGCGTCTGAGAAGGTTATTTTCACATCTCCGTGTGAGGTGTTTTTAATTGTTTGCACCTCAATAAAATTGTCATATCTTGCCCTCCTAGCATATGCCCTTCTTGCTGAGCTGGACTAACCTCCACCTGTAAAGCAGCCTGAGATGACCCCGATTTCCCCAAGGGCCTATTGGTGCTGCTACGGTGGTGGCATGACAGCTCGATCATCTCTTTCTCGATCATTCCTCTCTCTTCCTTCTCCTACCACATAGTGTCGTAAATGACCCCTCTAAATGAGGTATTATATTTCTTTCTTCAGTTGAATACAGTCGTCGATCTCATGGTCTGTGTCTTTGTAAAAGTTACAATATTTTGTGGAATATGATCTTTTGGGATTAGATTTCTTCTATGGTGGCCACCTGACAAACCTTTCGTTCTGGACCTCATGGAAGACCTGAAAAATGGAGGCGTTCAAGGGTATAAACCGAGCTGGCACATATATTGGTAGTAGTTCCTGAGGCGAAGGACCAAGGCGGTCTTTGATATTACCCCTTTGTTTCGGGGAAGGCTCTTTGTCTTTTCTAGGAGACTGATCTCTCTGCAAGGATCGATTATGTCTTCTTTCTTTTCTTAGACTGCGTTCTCTCTTCTTCTTTCTTCTTTGCCTGTAGATGACAATCCTCTTTTTAAGTGAAGGGCATCCTCGCCATTAATGTGCTTTTCAGCTTTTGCAAACACCTCAGCCATGGTCGCCTGAGGGTTTCTTGGCAATCGAAAACAGAAGGTCCTTTGATTGGACGTCGAGTCCTAACATGAAAGTGGTCAGGGCAAATTTGTCGTCTACACTCTCTACCTTTAAAGATTATTGGTTGAAACGCAGCATGTAACTCCATAGGGATTCGTTGGGTCCCTGTCTGATGCTCAACAGATGGTAAGATGATTTCCTATAGGTTCTGGCTCCTACAAAATGAGATACAAATTGTATGGATAGTTCTCGGAAGGAAGAGATTGAGGATGATTGCAATTTGTTAAACCAAGCTATGGTCGACCCTTTAAATTTTATGGCAAGTTCGGCACCGAATAAGGTCTGGGAACCTATGACGCTCCATTTGGTTTTTATATGAATTCAAGTGATCCACTGGGTCTTTGGTTCCATTGAATGCCTCTGTTTGCAGCATTCGAAATTTCTAGGGAAGGGAAAAATGAAGGATTTCAGAGGTGAAGGGTGATTCGGTTTGCTGAACTAAAGCATCTATGGTGGCAAGAGCTTTCCCTTTGACTACTTCTTTTACATTTCCGAGCGCTTGTTGGATCTCATGGAATCTTTGCTCCCTAAAATGGTCCATAGCATCTTGTAGAGGTAAGGCCCAATCTTCTCTGGGTATAGCTTTGGCCAAACTGTGGGCCTCATCATCTGTGCGTTCATCCGACTGCCTTTGTCAGCGATTTTCTCCTGAATGACTGTGCTCGTGGAGGTCTGTAACTCCATTGGGTGGTATATGATGATCTTGAAGAGGAACATCATTTTGGACTAGGGGTGGGGGTGGAGGTGGAGGTATCATAGGAAGTACAAGCGAAGCCAGTGGAAGGTGATATATCTATATTCAAGCCACCAAGTCTTGATTCTATTTCATAAGTTGCATAGTGGTTCGATGATATGTATCAAACTCGTTGAGAGGAGTGTTTGCCGCTGGAGGACAATTTTTTATCTCTGCTGCTAGGGCGAGGAAGCTGTCTAGTAGGTTCTACAGGACTTGGGGGTTTGCATGAGACTTACTCATGTTTCGAGTCAAAATCATCAAACCAATACATGTACAAAGAAAACTCGAAGGAAATGATGAAAACCGTTTCCACAGACGGCGCCAAGCTGATGGTGCTCAAAAATACTTGGCCCAAGTGCAGAACCGTGGATTTGAGACCCTATGATAAGGGTAATACAGATATCTAGATTAACAGGGAAGAGAGGGATGAAGTTGGATCAAAATAGCATATAAGTGGTTCACCTTAGCCGCAAGACTAAGACTACATTCACTGTAATGAAGACTCTTGCTCCTTGATGTTTATATTACTTAGAGAAAAAGATTACAGTAGGTTTTCTAGGCTTAGAGCATTTGCTTACAGTGCCTTGTGAGTACAGATTTTTTCTAACAATTTAACGGTGTGATAGTGTTCTATTTATACAAGTATTAATCTAGGATTTTCTGTGATTTTCTCCTTCCTTTGCCTGATTCTGTGGTCCCCTCTTCCTTTGTCTTGTAGCGGTATTTGCCACCCTAACGCAAATCGTGCCCACAATTCTTAAACGGAACGTGCACCAATATTCCCTTTACCAATTCCAGAAACTATCCTCTTGGACACGTGGTGCGACAAAAATGTTTGGAATTTAAAGAGTACCGAGCTCCTTTTTCTCAAGTTGGATGTGACCGAGCAAAAGCATATTGACCTAGATGTCATTGGACCCTTTTCTTTGGATTGTAGTTCATTCTTACTGTAGGGTAGCCAAGCTGCAGATGGGCCGTTCGGTTGCCATGTAGCCAAGGGGGCTCATTGGATGTTCTGGGTTTTTAGATAGGTTGCCTAAGCCGATATCTTACCATTATCAGTACTAATGTAGTGTAACTGTTAAACTGAATATTTACTCTTTTTTATCCTTCTTCCAAGTTTTATTTTGATCGTTTGTTAATTTCCAGGATGCTAAGAATTTGTGAATGTTCCAAATAAGTTCTTCACACCAATTCAGCTAAAACAAGATGTAAAGCCACACAGTACAAAATTTATTCATGGGAAGAGACCTTAATTGGTCTGAATTGGTTCAAATTTGAGAAAGAAGGTTCGCCATGGTTGGACGGGGATAGCATTTGGCCATCAAGGGTTGAACCCTTGAGGCCAAGAATCCGGTGCTTTCAGACATCTGAATTATCTCTTCATCAACACTTTCCCAATCAAAGCACTGAATAAGCGAACCCATAGCCAATCCAACTGTACGCAGGGCCAAGCTCTCTCCAGGACATCCTCTCCTCCCTGACCCAAAAGGCATCGACTTGAACCCGTCTCTTGCCTCTTCCAAACCTTCAAATCTCTCTGGCTTGAACAACTCAGGGTCAACCCATACCTTGGGATCATGTTGTATGGCCCAGACGTTCACCAATAGCATGGTTCCAGCTGGAATGCGATAGCCTCCTACCATGCAGTCCTCCGATGACTTGTGAGGCATTAGAAGAGGGGCTGATGGGTGCAATCGCAATGTTTCGTTGATGATGCAGCGGAGATATGGAAGTTTGGCCAAATCAAGTTCATCAATCAGGTGGTGTTGTCCTACGCAGTCATCAATTTCAGCCTGTGCCTTCCTCAAAACCTTTGGATTGCTGAGCAAAAGAGAAAATGCCCACTCCATAGCACTAGCTGTGGTTTCGGACCCTCCTTGTAGTAGAACCTATATTTTAGAAATCACTGTCAGGTTAACAATCGGAATATCTATGATTATTCAAAAATTTTGGAGGGGACCATGAGTTCATAAACATGGGTTCATCCTACCTTTTTTTTTTTCGGGCATCGGTTCATCCTACCTGACTACCCTGTAGGCTTAAACAATCAATTCTAAGATTGGGCTTGCCTTGTGTACAAATCTACAATTATCCAAATTTGAGTTATACCACGATAAAGATTCACGATTGGCGCCAACTATTTCATGGTTTTGTAGGCCTTATTAAGGTCACAAAGACACTTGGATCTGAATAAATTTAGTCACTCAATTAGCACATAAAAGCTCTAATCAGCAGATTCATATAGATTGGTATCTTATCTGATAAACAGGCACAGTTCCTCCCCGCCAACCCAGCCCAACCCAAAAAAAAAAAAAAACCTGATAAACAGGCCATTACAAATGGTTGACTTGGGCAGACCAAAAAATTGTAATAAGTTGGCAGTTGGTATCATAAAACAAGTCTTCCCAGATGGTTGGCTTGAGCAGACCAAAAACTTCTAATAGGTTGCCAGTCGATATAATAAAACATGCCTTATATAGTTGAGTTGAGGAGACCAATTTAATGGGAAATATATGAGGGTAAATTATACCTATAACTCATGAGTTATGTAGAGAAATTACGATAATTTTTACCATCTTAATATATGCACGACAAGTCGACAACCCCTTACTCTCAGAGCCACTACCTCCACTGTAAATCCGCCCCTGCTCTCAAGAAGTTATGTTAATATTATGCCATTCATCATAAGAAAGCTTATATGAACAGAAACTACTAGTATTGTCCCCCTTATTCCTTGTCGCAATTCAATAATTTAGGTTCCAAACTTAGTCATCGTTAAAAGAAAAAAATTGCTACTGTTTACACATGCCAAAAACACACATGCGCCTGAAACAGATATACATGCAACCCTTCCAAAGACACTGCACACAAAACTTCACCATACATGGCCACCCACCGCCACACGACACAACATCCAATTTCAATATACTCCAATTAAAATTTACACAATCCAATTCACAAATGTAAGTTAATCAATTGGCACAAAGTGTGTGTGTGTGTGTGTGCACTTGTTTCTCTTTTTTCCAAATCACCCCAAAAAAAAAAAACCCAACCATGGGGGGATGCACTCTAATTAGTGGGTGATCAAATATTTTTGACATAACTTGGGGGTGAGTCTATAACTTAGCTGATATATGATGACTATGTCTACTATATTCGATTTCTTATATTCAACTTCATATTATTAGAATCAATGTTTGACTCAGTGACCCCAATTTTTTGTATACATACAAAATGATCCTATAATTTATTGTGGAACAACCCTAATTTTTATGGTAACCAAAAAAACTAAATATTTTTTAAAAATTACTAAGTGACTCCAATATTTTCAAAACTTATGGGACATTTTCGTGCTGTATCTGGAGCATCCCAAAAACTCATGCTCATTTGGTTACAACTCCATACCAATTGATCATCAGAAAATGAAATAGGTAAATCTATTGAAAAAAATATCCTCAATATATAGGTACACACACTTACACTCCCAAACATAAATATAAGTATTGCTGATTTTGTGGAATCAAAATTAAAGCTTTAGTTGTGTGTCTTACCAGCATGAGGCTTCTGATGGACTCTTCTGTATAGTATTCAGGTTCTGCTTCATGCAGACACAATAGAACTTCAAGTATGGTTTTCTTCCTCTCTCCAGCAGCAGTAGAAGAAGAAGAGGCAAACCTTTTAGTCTCCATTCCGCGATAGTCTTCTATTAAGTTTTGCATGAACTAATCTCTATTCTCATGAATCACCCTCAACTTTTCTTCAGTTCCTCCAAACCCAAACCAGCGCATAAATGGCAAGAAATCTAATACTTGTGACTCTGATATCGACCTTGACGTCGCCATAATTAGATCTTGAAACCTCTTAGCTTCTTCTGAGTTCTCTACATTCTCACCATAGTATATTTTACCGAAAATCATCCTCGTCATGATGTTGAACGTGAGTTCAAATAAAGCCAATTTCATGCCCACAGCCCTCTCCGGAGTCTCGGTGGAGACTTGAAAGAGTCTGCCAATCAATGTCCTGACCTCCTCAAGGCGGATGTGAGAAAGCATTTGTAGGCGGTGGGAGGATAAGACTTCAAGGGAAGAGATTCGGCGGAGGTTGCGCCAGTGGTCACCATAGGGGGACCAAGCAAGGCTAGTGTAGTTGTAACCGAAGTATTTTCCACTAATAAGAGTGGGGCGGTTGGCAAAGGCAATGTCATTCTTGGTGAAGCACTCTTCAGCCGTTGATGGGGAGGCAACGAGGAGTACAGGGTGGGAGCCAAACCAGAGGAAAACTACTGGCCCATGTCGGTAAGAAACTTTGGCCAGTGCTTGGTGGAAGGGTTTCTTCAATAGGTAGAGATGGCCAATCAATGGCAGGGTTGGAAAAGGTCTTGGAGGAAGATTTCGGAGCTTGCGGAGGAAATGTTGGGTGATGACATAAAAAGCTAACAAGACCACTGGAAGGTATAGGTACAAGACCTCCATGGATTGATAAAAACGTCAAGGGGTAGTTTCTGATGACTTGGTAGTCGGAAAGGCTTGGACTTTTAACAATCTAAATCCTGGTCTTGATAAAATAGAATAATCACTGTCTCCTTAAACTTTGTCCTTTAATGTTTTGAATTGAACAAATTAAGGGTAAGAATTGTAAACATTACAAGGACTCCCCTTATTTTTCTGAATATCTTCACTGTTTCATACCTACCTCATATATCCATTCCACACCCTACCGTTAATGGTGTCAACAACAAGGTTAAAAATGGCAGATACAATCTAATATTCTATCTGATATCTGTTTTACCCTCAATAATTATTAAACAGAAAAGCTTCTCTCCTCTCTTCTAGATGCCAGTAGAGACAAACCCAGATCAAGGACGACCCATGAATTGAATTCAAACCAGCACAAATACTAAATTCAAGATGAAGAAGAAACACATCTCAGGACACATCAAAATTAGGTCATTTTTAACCAGGTGACAAAATTGAAAAACTTAGATAGAGAATGTGAACTTACATGTGAATGCATTTACAAATGGAGGTAGCATCTTGGAAGAACTTGTTGCAGATAGGACAGTTCACGACTGACCTGAGCTTCTCGGCCGAACTTGCACTTCTTATTACTGCCCGTTATCATAAATACCCTTCAATCTCTCTCATGAGTAGGCTGTGGACAGGTGGGCTGTGTGGGCGGAGGATTGGTGGGCACGTGGATGGTGGTGGTGAATAGGCGGTGGGTTGTTGTCGTCGGCCATAATGAGTGCGATTTGGAGAGAGAGAGAGATGAAATAGGTGGAGATTCGTTGGTAGTGGTGGTGGTGGTGGTGATGAGGTTGTGGGTGCCCACGGTTGTCGTGCACCTCGTCGGCAAGACGGATGAAATGCGGATGAAAAAATAAGAATAAAAATGTAAAATGACAATTTCTATCACAGCCGTTACTTATCTATCACGGCCGTTAATTGACAGAAACCATAGGGGTACTAGTGTATTTTCACGAAAAAGAAAGGGTATCCATGTAATCTTTATTAATTTTGAAGTTTTTTCCTCTTAATTAAGCTACAACAAGTCAACAACATAGTTCCAACTACTTCTGTTTTTTCTTAAATTGAGGAGAACAACTAAGTTTGTCGATATCGAGTCAAGCGAATTCGTGTCGAATTTTAATGAATTCGTGTTAAAAAATATTTTATTTATATTTAATTTATTTATTAATTCGTGTTTAACTAATCATGTCATATAAAGTTTGTGTCGTATATCAATCGTGTATAATCGGTATATGAATAAATAGTAACATATATTTCTTTTGATTGACTTCACTTATTCTCGATTCATTTATTAATCATGTTGTGTTATATCCATCCATTTATGAAATAAATAGTTTAAAAAATATTCAAATCATCTAATTTCGTATAGTATTAACAAATTATGTCATAATTTAACACTCCGATAACCAACAACCCCACGACACCACAGCTTTTAATTAATGCTTAAACAACAAAGTTCCAACAACTTTGGTTTTTCATTTTGTTGAGGCAGGCCGGCATGCCTACCAATATATATATATATATATATATATATTTATAAATACATGCCAATCATTTTTAAAGAGAAAGAAACTAATTTATTTTGGCTTCCTTGGAAGTTGTGATTAAAGATTTGCAGCCAACCCCATGCGAGGACCGGCCCTAAGCATAGGTCATTAACGTGGTCGCGTTGGTCCCCAAAAATAAAAAGAAATAGTTGGGTCTCCCAAAAATTATTTAAGACCACTAACAAAATTTTTAAGGTTTCCAACTTTTATTTAGTCTTACAATTTTAGTTACAATTTAAGAATCAGTAAAAAATTGACACGACTTTAACAAATTTGAATTTAGCTTTAATAAATTGAGCAAATGTTACATGGATTTAAAAAATAGACTTGATAATTTTAACCATTAATTTCACTGTGGGTCCCAGTATTTATTGGGACTCACTACCTATTCAATGGTTGAGATTATCAAGTCTACTTTTTAAGTATAATTTTTAAGTTCATCTATCATTACTCTAATAAATTTAGATGATAAATAGATGAAATTTTTTGGCCCCTCAAATTAACGAGCCAACATAAATCTAACTAAATATGATACAAACCCGTTAAATTATACCGGAAAATGACTTTTGGCACTATACGACCAAATGACTTCTTGAATTAACTTTTTTTTTTCTTTCTTAAATATTTTTATGTAAATACCGAAAAATTGAATTATTTATTCACGCAATACTTTTGCTTTTTTTTTTTTAAAGATATTATTATAATCAAATTCAATGGGCCGATTAATAATTTATTCGCTACTGAGAATTGAGTGGCCAACAACTCTCACAATAAGAATGCCATTTCCAATAAAAGTATCCGCCAATAATTTATGAATTCCAATCACTTTCCAACAACGAGTCCATAGCATTTAGGCAATTAAAATAAAATTGCAATCTAAAAATTGTCAAATGAAATCTTAGTGTATAAATCCTAGAGTCATGTCCCATGCATTCTATCTAACTGCTAAAACTTCATCGAAACTTTTGATTTATTATAAAGTAGGGTTTTTTGCACTTGTACCCTAAAAGATTTTAAATTTTTGATTTTATACCTCTAAAGAATATTTTTTTTTTATTGTATCCTCAATGTATTAAAAGTGTTGCAATATATCACTTCTGTTATTTTCCGTTATTTTTTTCATTTAAAGTCAACTCATTAACACTGACGAAAAAATTAATGAAAAGTTAACAAAAATATCACATTATAACACTTTTAATGCATTAAAAATATAATATAATAAATTTAATTTTTGAAGATACAAAGTAAAAACCCTGAAATCTTTTTGGATATAAAATAAAATTTACACGTTAAAGTACTGTATAAGTCAATTTGATTTAGAAGAAGGCAATTGCACAAGCAGACAAAAAAAAATAAAGATGTGTGGTATTTAGTTGTTACTTTTTTTTTCGATGGATTAACCGGCTAATATTTTATAGGAAAAATTTCACCCATACCCCCTCTAATTAGGTATAAATTTAGAGACACCTCCTATCTATTCTAAATCTTCACTGTCACCCCCTGTGCATTGTCTAGTAACGGCGTTAATGGCTAGGGTTAATTTACAAAATAACCTTCAGTATTTTATACGTAATATGTATGTATACATATTTAACCTATACTACTAACTATGGTTATGTTTAATTAACTCCACCTAATTATTAAACCTAAACCAGCCCAAACAGAGAGAAAGTGAGGGAGGGGGGAAGAAACAGGGAAGAAAATTGATGAAGGCTTGAAGTTTTTTGCGATTCCAAACATCGAATGGTTTGAAGAGTTCCTATCGAAGATAATGTGGTATGTATCGAAAAAATTTGTGTTTTTTTTTATGTATTTTTGTATCTAGGGTTTTGTTTTGTTCATCTTTTATGGATTTGTGGGGTTTTGTTCATCTTTATCGTTTGAATATAGTTCAGGGTTAGTGACAAAGAACATAGTTGAGTAAGGGTTTGAACATAATTCATCTTTTTTTTTTATACATTCTTTGTATCTAGGGTTTATATTTTACAGATTTGGTGGTTTTGTTCATCTTTTATCCTCATACTGAACATAGTTTAGGGTTTTCTAATGCATTCTCCATAGATATTGAGTAAGGGTTTGGACAGACTTGGATTTTTTTTTACGTTTTTTGTATCTAGGGTTATATTTATTTTATATATTTTGGTATTTTGTTCATCGTTTATCCTCATAGTTCAGGATTTTTTAATGCATTATCCATAGATATTTGAGCTCATGACAGTGTTGAAATTAGGGTTTCAATTTTTTACGTTTCTAAAAATCCTTCTTATTTTAGACATGCTACATAGATGATAGAGTAAGAAGATGACGAGGCAGATGAAGGACTTTTTTGATTTTTTTTGTTCCTGGTGTGAATACTTGAATATAGTTGATTTAACATAAGAATATAGTAGGACTTTTGTGTAGAACAGATGGTTTAACTTGTAAATTTTTGTACAGAATACCTACAAATGTCACAATAGAACAATTTGTGACTACACATGGATGCTAAATATTATAACTATTATGAATGTATGGAAAGGAGACAACCAGTCATTCATAGAACTACAAATGCTTAACAATGATATTACATAGAACAACCAGTCATATTACATAAAACTTACATAGAACAAAAACATCATATTTGAACAACCAGTCATATTATATAGATCAAAAGCATCATATGTCTAACATCCAGCTATACCAACGCAACAACAACTTCAGATTTGCACAACAAAAAACATAAGTTTTCAACTCTTCATTCCAACCAAAAGTTATAACATTAAAATCACAATTACAACTGTCATCATCTTCTTCATGCATTGTAGGGTGTCCTCTATGGGCTTCACTCTTGCAGCCAACTTGTTTAATTCAACATTTGTCTCAATGTTGCGATGTACCATTCCATACCCTTCAGGTTAGCCGATCAATGGTATAATAGATATCGGATGGCACTATGCAAAATATCCGCATGACCCTTTTTCACAATTGTAATACAATCTTCTTTTACTAGGTTTATCATATTCTATTATCTTAACCGCAACTTTTTTCTCACAAAAACATGATTTATAACTATATCTTAAGTCAAACTTCTCCTCCCTTGTGTCTCTACCTCTACCAACACTTGAAGAAGACATGAATCCTATAATAATACATCACAATATACTGACATTTAAACATCTACAAATAAAAAATAAAAATTGCTTGAAAAAAAAATTGATTGAACAAAATAAAAAAATTTAAAACTATTGCATGAAAAAAATATTGAGTAAAAAAAATGCATGAACAAATATAAAAAACAAATTCATGAAAAAATTTAAAATATCTGCATTTAAAAATTAAAAATTTAACTAAATGAAAAATTAAAAAAAATTACATAAAAAATATTTACAAATCTGTAAGACAAAAAATATTTACCAACTTTTGTAGTAAACGATCAGTGATCAGCATGGAGAGCAACACAGCCAACCTCACGTTCAAGTTGTTCCAGCTACAACACTTCAGCCAAGGGGTTAAGGTGTATATATGTATATATATAGGCAAAAAGCTTGAGAGTTGAGGTCATTTTAGTACTTTTATATGAGAAGGGGTAGTTTGGACATTTTTAAAAAAATTGGACGTTTATTTATTCACCGTCACTGTTAAAATTTACGGTGTAGGGGACATCTTTGATTTAAGGTGTAAACCAGAAAGGAATGCAGTGAAGATTCAGAATGGGTAAGGGTGTCTCTGAATTTATGCCTAACTAGAGGGGGTGTAGATGAAATTTTTCCAATTTTATATTCTTAATTTTTTCTTTACAATTGTTTTTCGATTATGGATTTGTGCAATATCCAAGTGTTACTTTCTAGAGTATATTTATTATCTATGTAGTATATTTAATTGTTTGTGCAATATATTCAAATTATGATGCTTGAAATATGATATATTTCAATTATGGGCTAATCTTAACTTGTACCCCAAAAGATTACTAAAATCTTAATTTACACTCTCAAAGTTTAAAAATATTAATTTACATCTTCAAAAACATAAATTCGTATCAATGTACACTTAGGGTTAACTTCATCTATTTTACCGTTAAAAAAGTTTAGGCTAATTATAAATTATACTCCTCAAAGTTTAAATATTTCATATTTATGATCCAAAAAAAATTTCATCCATTAATGCTCAAACACTACACAAAAATGTTATGGTACGATATAATTAATAGCTATTTAACAAGCATTAGTAGATGAAATTCTTTTTGAAACATAAATGTGAAATATTTAGGGATTGTTTGGTAACGTTTTTGTTTTCGCATCTTCAAAAAAATTGAAAACAGAGACAATTTTGGGAGTCATTTGTTTTGTGATAAACACTGAAACATAAAATATGTTTGAGAGTCATTTGTGTTTATCAAATTATGAAAATAAAAATAAAAAACATATTTAGTAACTATTTCAAGTTTTATTCTAAATATAAACAGTTGGGCTTCCCAACCCAAAAGAGTTGATTCTCATCTTCAGGCCCTTGCTTATGCAGAAATAGGTCCAAAACCTTAAGCCCAAAACCCATTTGTGACCCAATCACACAAGAGCTTTCGAGCCTCTAACGACTTTCATAAATACCCGATGATTTTCAATACTAGACATCATTTATTTTTTAATGTTTGATACAATTTTTAATAGTACTGATCAATATTAATTCATCAAAGCTAATCAAACTCATTCAATCTACTCATTAGCTTGCTAGCCAAAAAAAAAAAAAAAATTGGAACTAAATGACAATTCAATCAATTTCAAATGACAATTTAATCCCAAATGACAATTTAATCAATCCTAAATGACAATTCAACAATTCCAAATAACAATTCAATTAAGACCAAATGACAATCAATCTCATACACAATACACACACACACATACTCAACACAACACACATACATGCACAGATCTGTGTGTATATATGCATATATACACAAAGAGCGTCTTTTTCTTCCGGGTTTCACAAAGAACGAGAGCGAGACAGAGAGAGAATATCGTCTTGTGGGTTTCACAGAGAGCATCGTCTAGAGAGAGAGAGAGAAAGACCTCCTTCGTCTTCCACAAGGAGTACAAAGAGCACAAAGAATACAATAGAGAGAGTGAGGAAGCGATGGAGGCGGAGGTAGAGGCAGCGATGGTTTGTCTAGTGGTCTAACACAGAGAAAAGAGATAGGAGAGAGAAAGAGATAAGCGACGGGGAGGAGAGATGTGATGAAATAAGCTTTTATACTTTAACAAAAAAAAAAAAAAGAGGCTTATTTTGCTGTTAAGAGGACTCGAAGCCTAAATCTGATTAATTCCCCACCTTTTTGCACGTGTTGTCTCTATTTCCAATATTTCTTGGAACATCTTTTTTTTTGTTCCCATTTTTTTGATTTGTTTCCGAGACAATTGAGGTGAAACAAAAACAAAAATAATTATCAAACACATTTTTGTTTTTTTTTTTGGCAAAAATTAAAAACAAAGACACAAAACATCAAACAAACATCCCTTAAACTTAAAGGGGTACAATTTATAATTAACCTAAACTTTTCTAGCGACAAAACAGATGAAAGTTAATTTCAAGTGCACATTGATACGTATTTATATCTTTCAAGGTGTAAATTAATATTTTTAAACTTTGAGGGTACAAATTAAGATTCAAGTGATCTTTTGTGGTGCAATGAGATTAGCCCTTTAATTAATTGTTGGTCTCTAATTGGAAGATGCAATGATTTAAGTATTTATGTTTGTAAGGGAAATTCAATAAAAATAGATGCCTATTTAATTTCATTATGCAAAAAAAAAAAAAAATCTATATTTTCTTGTTATTTTTATGGGTTGTGCAATTAGAATTGAATTGTTTGGTTTTTGTTAGGGTGTGTTTTATTATATGACTAAGTGTATATGTATTCAAAAGCTATTTCTTGTGCTTAGTTTGTTGGTTAATGTATTTGTTATTAAATATATTTATGTGTTGGATATATTTTTATGCATTAAAATAGTTTGACTCTCTAAATTATATACATTATCAATGTTGTTATATTGAATTTCTATATACAAGATTTGACCCCCCAACAAAAAATCTTGACTCCGTCCCTGCTAAAAACTTTATTTTTGTAAACTTATTTATTTTCCAAAAAACCAAAAAAAAAAAAATTATTTCTTATCCTACACGGTGCACAATCCTTTGCTTAGGCTTTGCTTGTTTACAGATGAGACTTCAAATTAGTTCAAGTTTGATTCGTTTTGTAAACGAACGAGCATTAATCCATTGATCTCGTTAGAGTATAAAAAATAATTATTCATATCATACCAAAATATTATAACAAAAAATCATTTTACACTTGTTACATTTTTATCGGACGAAAAATAATGTAGTACAACTATTTGGTACATTGAAGAATCATAGCTTACACCTTTTGTTTTAAAATTTGGTCAAAATAGCATTATAACTGAATTGCTTAGGGCATTAGTCTTTGGGTATGGTTATGTGCTACACATTTTTTGTAGCTTAAGCAATTTCTTCCTCTTTCTTCTGCTAATTTTTAAACATTGAAGGGCCCCATCTATACAAAACCATATTCGTTATACATTGAGGACTGTGACAAACAACTTTTATTAACACAAAAACTTAAAGAAGAGGCTTATTAACGATTTTCAAGAAAAAGTCGAGTTTTTTGAAAACACTTCAAACTGTTCTAAGGGTCCGTTTGTTTAATAAGATTATACTCAAAAATACAAGAAAGAGAAAATTTTAAAATTTTACATACGTTTGTTTAGCATGAAATAAAAAATAATAGAAAAAATAATTTTCTCTTATATTTAGATTTTCTCACATCTAACTAACTTTTTTTCTTGCAAAAAACACAAGAAAAAGTAAGAAAGTTGTATGCAATAACTTAACTTTCTATTTTACCCTTATTTTTCTTAAAATATTCAATTAGTTATTAATTTTAAAAAAATGTATACAAATTAAACTAATCATATAATTTGGTCTAGTGATTAAGGTTTGAGTCGTTTTTTGTTTCTGAATTAGATTAGGAGCCAATTTTTTTAAAATTTGAATAATAAAAAATATATTTTTCTTCTTTAGACCGAGTTAAAATACTTAAGAATAATTTAGACAATCAAATAACTTTCTTTTATTTCAAACAATGGAACGAGAGTGTTTTAAATTTTTTTTAGAAGTTTTTCATACTAACCAAATACAAGTATGAAAATTTATTTTTTTCACTTTCTTTTCTTTCAATTCACTTTCTACCTCTTTTACTTTTCATCGTCTTTTCCTTGCTAACCAAAGGGACGCTAAGACATTTTTTAACTCTGACTATTTCATCGTTTAATCAAACTCAACAGGGGATTATCTTCTCTGTCGTTCAACAGTGGTGGGTAGTCCAAAAATGCCGCCGCATTCAGCTACAAATTGAAAGGCATTTTGTAACTGATGCAGCAGTCATTTAGGAACAACCACCTCTGTTGTACAGCTAAGGAGTCTTACCCCTCAGCCCTCAACGGAGACCATCACCGCCAGTTCGAAGAGAGCAGTTGAAGTCAATAAGTACAGAGCCTTCGTGGAAGACCGAGTCTCTTCTGAGAAAATTCAGAACTAAGAAAATAATCCCACAGGATACATATTGAAAAACTGCGACGAAAACACTTCACATATGCCAGTTGGCAAGAATAATCCTCCCAGCTCTTTATTCTCTAGGAAGAGACCTTCAATGGTTTTAAATTTGGTTCAAATTCGAGACAAGGTTCACCATGGTAGGACGGAGACAACATTTAGCCATCAAGGGTTGAGCCTTGGATGTTAAGAATCCGATGTCTTCACTCATGTCAATCAACTCCTCACGAACATTTTCCCAATCAAAGCACTGAATTAACGACCCCAAAGCCAATCCAAGTACACGACGGGCCAAGCTCTCCCCAGGACATCCCCTCCTCCCTGACCCAAAAGGCATCAACTTGAATCCGTCTGTAGTCCCTTCTAAACCTTCAAATCTCTCAGGCTTGAACTTCTTGGGGTCGACCCATATCTTAGGATCATGTTGTATGGCCCATGCGTTCACCAATAGTATGGTTCCACGTGGAATGCGAAAACCTCCTACCATGCACTCGTCTGATGAGTTGTGAGGTATCAGAAGAGGGGCTGCTGGCTGCATTCTTAATGTCTCGTTGATGATGCAGCCAAGATAAGGAAGTTTGGCTACATCAAAGTCATCAATCAGACGGTCTTGTCCCACACAGAGGTCAATTTCAGCTTGTGCCTTCTTCAAAACTTCTGGATTGTTGAGCAAAAAAGAAAATGCCCACTCCATAGTACCAGCTGTAGTCTCAGTTCCTGCTTGCAGTAGTACCTATTTAAATTTCAAAAATCATTGTATCAGGTTCACCAGTCAAATGATCTATCATAGCAGGCCTCATCAGTAGCTGATTGACCTGATCAGATCAAATTTTACTCAAAAATAAGTTAGGGGTACAGTACATTCCCACCCTTGAGTTATGTCAAACAACATGGTCACCCATTGACATTTCAATTTTGATAAGGTGATACCTTACTTTTAATTTTAATATTCATGACACCCCTCCATCATCAGAAATAGGTTATATTCTATACTGTTTAAATTACCAACATTGACATCCTTATTCCATATTGGAACAAAAGTAATCTAGCTTCCAAACTTAAATCCTGTTAAGGACAAAATTACTACTATAGCCAAGCATCTCAACTTGTTATTCTTCTTCTCTCTCATACTCATGCCCCCCCTCCCCGCAACAAAAAAAAGAAAAGAAAGCATCCCCTTTACCGTGCATGACCACCCATTACCACCACATGCTCAAACAAACAATCCAATTTCAAATTGAATTCCAATTCTAATGCTAATCAACATCCAAATCAATTTCAATCCAAATTTACAATCCAATTCACCAATTTACATAATCTCTGGAAAAATTTTAATCAATCGAACTCTATATTTGTGTGTGTTGTGTGGTCATGTGTGCTTGCTTCTTTTTCTCTTGCACATACACAAAAAAATGGGGTGCTGCAAGAATACAGGGGGTTCTGCCAAGGGGGTCGATTCAACCAAGGAGTGGGGAAGGGCACGAGGTGGGGGAGTGGTTTGGTTGTCCAAGGTTACAGGAAGAAATGGGGCTATGAGCTGGTGTTACTGGGGGTTGCGGGCAGTGGACTGATCATTGCTTCCACTAACCCCCCCAACCCACCCCCCCGGGGAAACTGTTATTTAACTTTGGTCAATTATGACACGAGTTATTTTCAGTAATAAACTTTGATTGTGTTATCTCTGGCTTCGAAGTATGAAGGGATTACTATATTTTTTACATAACTTTGGGGATGTGAATGTAATTTACCCAAAGTGTTCATCAGTTAATAACGAAGAAGAAAAGATGTGCCAACCTTCAACCCACTCACCCCAAACATAAATACACAGAGTTGCTGAATTTGTTGAATTGAAATGAAATTTTCAGGTTGAGTATCATACCAGCATTAGGCTTCTGATGATGTCATCTGTATAGTATTCAGGTTCTTCTTGATGGAGAGACAATAAAACTTCAATTATTGTCTTCTTCCTCCCTCTATCAGCAGCAGAAAGACTTTTAGTCTCCATTCCGCGATACTCTTCTATTAAATTCTGCATGAACTTATCTCTCTTCTCGTGTATCACTATCAAATTCTCCTCAACTTTTCTGAATCCAAACCAGCGCATCCAAGGCAAGAAATCTAATAATTGTGACTCGGGTAACACCCTAGTCATCTCGGCTAATAGCTCTTGAAACCTCTTAGCTTCTTCCGAGTTCTCTACATTCTCACCATAATACCTTTTACCTGTAATCATTCTTGTCATGACATTAAACGTGAGTTCAAATAAGGCTGATTTCATATCCACTGTCCTATCCGGACTCTCGGTTGAGACTCGAAAGAGTTGGCAGATCAATGTCCTGACCTCCTCAAGGCGGATGTGGGAGAGTGTCTGCAGGCGATGGGAGGATAAGACTTCAAGGGAAGCAATTCGACGGAGGTTTCGCCAGTGGTCACCATATGGGGCCCAAGCAAGGCTGGTGTGGTTGTAACCAAGGTATTTTCCGATGAGAAGGGGAGGGCGGTTGGCGAAGACAATGTCGTTCTTGGTGAAGCATTCTTCAGCAGCAGATGGGGAGGAGACAATAAGGATGGGGAGGGAGCCAAACCAGAGGAAAACTACTGGACCATGTTGGTACGATATTTTGGATAGTGTTTGGTGGAAAGGTTTCTTCAATAGGTAGAGATGACCAATTAATGGCAGGGTTAGAAAAGGACTCGGAGGAAGATTTTGGAGCTTGTGGAGGAAATATCGGGTGATGATATAGAAAACTAACAAGACCAGAGGAAGGTATAGGTACAAGACATCCATGGATTGATGAAGATGTCGAGTATGGGGATACTAGTGATGACTTGGTACCGTGGTGTTCTTTAGTGTTATCTCTAATCAAAAAGGCTTGAACTCTTAACAATATCTATCCTGGTCATGATAAATAAAATAATCAAACTCAGCCCTATAGTGTTTTGAGTTTAATAAATTAAGGTAAATACCAATGATGCCCGATAAATTGAAATAATTATAAGGATAAGCCTGACTTTTTTGAAAAAGAAGAAAATATTGAGTGTAACAATTACACTATGTTAGCATTGACATAGTGTAACCATCTAATAAAAAAAATGGTTAAAATGTTAAAATTTAAATGAATTATCATGGTTAAAATATTAAATTATAATATAAATTGTTAGATCTAAACAATCTGAACTGTTGCTATGCTTTTCTAAGTGAGGAGCTTAAACAGCTCAAGTAAAAGGCTTGTTATATTATTATGGGTAAAATAAAGTTTATCCCCTTGTGGTTTGGGCGTTTTGCACATGATCCCCTATGATTTGGAAATCAGCACATTACACCCTTGTGCTTTTGAACTAAAATGCTACCATTAGTTTTTTTTCGTTAGATTAGACCATCCGTGACATACATGCTCCTAACAGGAGGTTTGACATAACAAAACGTGTTTCCCTCCCAAAATAGACACAATAAAAGTACAACAATACCCTTCTTCAATCTTTATCTTCATCTTCATCTTCCTGAACAGTTGACTTTCATATTTTTCTGCAATTGTGTTGCCCAACAGCACCACCTCTAACAATCCCACTGCGCAACACCACAAGCTCCACCATTTTACTATGCAACATCACCAATCCACCTTCAACAACCCGATTGCGTAACACCACTACCTCCACCATTCCTACTATGCAACAACACAAATTGCCACAACCTCTGCACACTCCACTAAATTACCACCCTACTATGCACCACCACTATTGCCACTACTTCAAAGTCAAGTTCAATCAACCAAGCAAGACACCAGTAATAATAGAGATCAACAAAGACCAAGAGGAAACAAAGGAAAACAAGGGATTCAGTTTATCCACGGGACACTAAATTACAAAGTGAATTTCCTCTCACGAATTTCGACGAGTTGCTTTCACCTCTGATCCTCCAGAATCCTTGCTTCGATTAGGGTGATTGGGGGTTTGTGTTTGTGCTCTGTAAATGGGTAGTATGGTCGTGGCTGTGATGGTTGCCCAGATGGCTATGATGGTTGCCCCAATGACAGTGATAATTGTGGGACGGTGGTTCGTTGATTTATTAGTTGTAGAAAGAGAGAGAGACAGAGACAGAGAGAGGGTTGCTAATAGTGGCAGAGGGTGGTGAGAAAAAGGGGCAATGAGATTGTTGCTTAGAGAAAGAGAGAGGGGAGAGGGGGTTGCTGATGGAGAAAGATGATGAAGAAGAAAGAGAGGGGGCAGTGACATTGCTGAGTCGGAGAGAAAGTGTGAAAGAGAGGCAACAAGGTATATTTTTATAAAAAACATGAATTATATATGCAATTAAATTAAATAATAATTTAGGGGTTGAATAATTAATTCTTATTTTAATTATTATTTTATTCTATAACTCTTTAAGTATCTAATCTGTCATTTATTTAGGTATATCTACGACCCTTTTAGACATTTACACATCTAATTATATTATAAAATTATTAATTTTTATTTTGTTAAATAGATTGATTAGATCGATTAATAATATTATTATATTATTGCATGCTAAAAAATAAAATATAACATATTTGACCGTAAAATTCAATCAAATCCTATACATATTACTTTTTCATATAGATATAAAAGAATGTATGCAATTGGACTACTAATAAATAAGTTTAAAAAAATTTAGAAGTCCTAATAAAAAAGTCCAAATCAAGTTGAGAGTCAAATAGGAGTAAAAAAATAAAAATGAAATGAAAGTATATATGTGGACATAATTGACTTTGTAATAATAATTAGAGGTAAAATAAAAAATTAAATTTTTTTTTTCAGATACTGACATTTATAAGTAATATAAATACAGATATAATTTTGGAATTATATTGTTTCCCTTATAATATAGAGAGAGAGTGAGAAGTACTCGATTGAACAAGACTTCCTGTAGTATGTGGCATCAGAATTTTTAATCAATACATAACATGTTGCCTATTTTGAGGTTTAACAGTTGAGATTTTGAGGGTACCAAAGTCATTTTATCACTTCTATTTACAATGTTAATTGTACATATCAGTCTAAAAGTACAAAGGGATAATGTGCTGATTTTCAAATTATAGGGCTGGTCATGTGCAAAACACCTAAACCACAAGGGACTAAGCTGTATTTTGCCCTATTATTATACATTGTGATACATTCATGTGGGGTAAATTATACCAATAGTCCCTAAGATTTGTCACTTGTTACACTTTTATCCCTAAGTTTTAATTTCATCAATTTCGTCTTTCATAATAACACATTGACTCATTTTAGCCCTTACCTCTGATTGTCTTCCAAATAATAGACGAAATGTTAACACATTGACTCATTTTAGTCATTTCCTCTAATTGTCTTCCAAATAATAGACGAAAAATGTCATGTACTTGGCACATCAAGGTATTAAGGGACATTTTTGTCATTATGCTTCCAAAGACGGGCACAAATAGAAAAACATCTCTTCAGACAAAAAACAAGGATTAAACTGGCAACCGCTCCACTTTCCCCAACCCTGCACCCCTGCCGACAGTTCCCTAGTATCGGCGACCAAATCCTCCCACCCTTAACACCAACCCCGATGCCCCTGATACCTGGCAGCCATCCCCAACATCTGCGACCGACTCTTTCTCTCTCTCTCTTAGAACTCAGAAGCATCGCCTACTGCAACTACCCAGAACTCAGAAGCATCTACCTGCAACCCAGAACTCGGTCTTTTCTTTCTCTCTGAACTCGAAAGCATCGCCCCAACTGTAAGCCCTCCACCACCTCCACCCACACACCCAAACCCCACCACTACCACCTCCACCACAATAATACAAACACGAAAACTCGATTACCCAGACCAATTTCAGAGATCAAAGCCGAGATTCAAGAGGGAGTGAACCAGAGAATTGGGGCTTGATTGCCCATGGAGGTCTTGGAAAGAAGTGGGTTTATATTGTGGGTGTGTATTTGTGGCTTTGTGTTGTGTTTGTGTTAGGGTTTTCGATGGACAGATGTGTTGGGTTTGGGGGTGGAGACATAGTAGAGAGAGAGAGAGAGAGATAGAGAAAGAATGTGTGGTTTTAAGGGAGAGAAAAGCGTGCATAGGCATATTGAGAGAGAGAGACGCACAAAGAAGAAGAAAATTCAGAGAGATAGAGAGAAGCATGTCTGCTTGTGTGAGGAAGAGAGAAGAGAAAAAATAGGAAGAAAAAAGTGGGTGTTTGGTTCATTTTTAATGTACACATTTAAAGATAATTGTGATTAAATGCATAAATAATTGTACAATATCAAAAATATCCTGAAAAAGTTGCATGTGAGATACAGATGGTACTTTCCATCTCTTTTTTTGACCGTAGGGCTAAGGACTATAGTAGCTCGATAGTATATCAATGCTTAAATTTTAGAAATGAAATTATAACATAAAAGTGTAATAAGTACAAACCAGTGTTGATACAAGTTACACTTATTTGTGATACACCTTTATAATGATGGAGTTGCGTTATATTGAATATTTAATCCTCTCTTTGGCCACCGATAGATACCAACCCAGATCAAGGATCACCCATTCATTCATTTCAAACCCAGCAAAAACTTTGAATATAACTAATAAAACAAAAGCCTCATTCATCACCCTTCAAATTTGAGGTTTTTTTTTTAACCTGTTGACAAAATTGAGAATAGAGAGTAGACTCACATTTGTGAAGGCATTCACACATAGAGGTGGCATCTTTGAAGACCTTGTTGCACATACAGGAACATCTCATGACTGGCTTGAGTTTCTTGGCCGAACTGCATCTCTTTAATGCTGCTCATCTTCATCAACACCTCTCTCTTTCTCTTTCTCTCCGAATCTGACCCACATAAGATTGCATCTCACCAAAAATAAACAACAAAACGGCCAAAAACAGAATCCCTTCTACACAGATACGTTTTTTGTTCCTTACTCTTTTATCTCTCGATCCCGGAATATATATGTTAGAATACACACACAATTGACAAAACTCCAAAGAAACAAACTGGGTTTATTTAGACGAACTGGATTTGAATGGCGTGGGTGGTGGGTTGACTTTTTTTGGTGGTGGTGGTCAGAAGAGGGCTAGATGGTGGAGGTGTATTTGAATGGTGCGTCTGTAGGTGGTTGAGTAGGAAGGTGGGTGGTGGCTTGCTCCGTTGCGCCGGCGGAGGATTGGCTGGCACGGTGGGTGGCCACTGGTGTCGTCGGCGAGAGAGATTAAATGGGTGTGTGCCAAATGGATTTGGGGGGTGAATATATAATGGAAGTACAAAGCATAACAAGGCAAAAAGATACTTTCTACCGTTCCAGTGCTCCGACAAAAACGAATATAGGGTGTCCTAATAAATATTGAATTTAACCGGTTCATAACGAATAATATCATCCTCTAATAATTTATATAATAAAGTAATGTTAAGTTTGAATGTTACCGACAAAGTGAAGTTCAGATTATTTTAAAACAAAACGTAAACACATTTAACAGACAACGTAATCTCAATATAAAAAACGGTTCAAATCATCTCATAAATACTGATCTGACGATCATAATTGGACTTAACTCTAACACTCATATCTCTCGTATAACTCTCTCTCTCTCTCTCTCTATGTGTTAAACGTTTTAAATACACTATCTTTGAGGACACTCATATCTCTCAATGTGCAAGAGTGTTTGGACAGGGTCTTGGTCAATTCTAAATGGAGCGTCTCCTTCCCCTCTACACAGGTGACCCATGAAGCTAGAATGAGGTCAGACCATTGTCCAATAGTGATTGCTCTTGGCCAAAGAACAAAGAAGGTCCCTTATTCCTTCAGATTGAGTCTATGTGGCTGGAGGATTCTGAATGTGAAGAGGTGGTTAAAAATAATTGGAATGACTTACCCAGATTCTGCTTTTTAGAATGCCCTCTCTAATCTAAATTTGTGCAAAACTCGTCTGCAAGAGTGGAGAAACCTCAAGTTTGGTAACAACAGAAAGACTATTTAGAAGTTGGGGAAGGAACTAGTCTATGTACAGATGTTAGAGTCCTCAGAGGAAAATCTGATCATGGAAGCGGAACTTTGTTCCCAAATTGATGCCCTTAGAAGTAGTAAAGAAAAATACTGGTTGCAGTGTTCTAGGATCAATTGGCTGAAAGAGGGGGACCAGAATACAAGATTCTTTCATCTGACTACCATCCAAAGATGAAATCGAAACTAGATCTGGAAACTAAAGACTGAGGAGGCTGAGTGGATTGAAGAGGAGGAGGAGATCAACCCCCACATCATTGGGTATTTCCAAAATTTGTTTAACACTGTTGGGGAAAGAGATTGGTCTGACGCATTGAGTGCCGTGCACAGAAGGGTCACTGAAGAGATGAATCGTGAATTATTAAGACCCATTAGGGAGACAGAGGTGCAAAGAACTGTGCGTGATTTGAAAGCACTGTGTGATTTGGGAGCCCTCAAGGCCCCTGGTCTTGATGGCTTCTCAGGCATTTTCTTTCACAAATTTTGGCACATTGTGGAACTTGACGTCTTTCAACTGGTCAAGAACTTCTTTAAGGAGGGCCAGATGAACAAGGAGCTAAACCTTACTAATGTTGTTCTCATCCCCAAAGATGCCGCTCCAGAATCCATCACACAATTTAGACCCACTGCCTTATGCAACTTTTTATACAAGATCATCTCAAAGGTTATGGTTAATCAAATGAAGTGGATGATTGGATCCATAGTCTCCCCAAATCAGGCCGCTTTTGTTCCAAACAAACAGATCCAAGACTGTATTCCCATCGCAAACGAAGTTTTCCACCATCTCAAGTGTCACGGGGCAACACTTCGTTTTTCTTTCGAGGCTACCTATGAAGACGTTGCCACTATAACCAGTCACACACAATCTCAAGAATAGAGATAGAAACTCACACACACAAAGGCACACATGAATTTACTAGGACAATACTCTCAAACCTTATATATTAAACTCAATACAATTTACAAGAAACTCAGCAAGAACACTCTCTGTCTACCAGAATGCTCAAACACCCCTATTATACAATGAGTATGGCAGATGACACCTCCATCTGCCGAAAGGTAGTTACCTACATTCTACTATTCCATAGCAGACTTGGTCAACAAGCTTGATCTCTATATGACACCTAGCAGGCAGTTCCACCCATTCAGTAACTGATGTGGAACTGCCCCTCATTAGCATGCATCTGGACCAGAATCAGGTTAGGAACGCCTAGAACTGCTTCCCACAAACTAAGCCTTGTTCAGTAATTGCCTTGACTAAGTATCAGCATCTGCAACTGCCCACATCCTTTTGGTC